TGTATGTACAAGGTTCTACAGTGTCTTTTAACTACTGGTTAGTGATCATGATTTTGCCCTTTTTGCCAGTATAAAAATGATTTTTTGACAGCATTCATTGGACTGACCAGCACTCAAGAATGGGGAAAGAACTCACTTAAGGTCTTGGAAGGAGACCTGTAGATGTATACAAACTGGGAAGGTCTGTTGGAGACCTTTCTAAACAACTGAATACTGCAAGATAATAAATTCAAACAACTGCATGTAAATGCAAATTGTTTGGATTGTTTGGAAGAAGACCAATTTCTCCCTCAGAGGAGAGGAAATTGATTAGGTTATCAGGAAACAACCCAGGAAGCACAGGGCTTAAGACTGCCATGAACTTGAACATTAGTGCCACTTTCCCAAGTGAAACAAGTTTTATATTACATGGACTGAGAGGGTGCTGACCCAGAAAGTGAAGAGGTTTTATGGTTGGACGAGACAAAGATTGAGCTATTAGGCCACAATTACAAGGGGTATGTTTGGAGGATTAAGATGAGACTTTCAATCTAAGAGGACCATACCAACCGTCAAGCATGGTGGTGGTAGCATCAAGCTTTGGGGATGTTTTGCCACCAGTGATACGGGTAAATTGCCCAAAATAGAGAGAATAATATAGGAGGACTACTTCCAAATTTTTCAACAAATCCACAGCTGGACAGTTGAAACGGTCTTCCCAATACTGCAACCTCAACCTAGTTGAAAATTTGTTGGTTACACATAAAGGCTGGGACCAGGAAACCAACCAATTTAAATGAACTCTAAAAATTCTACCAAGAAGTGGTGGTCAAATATCCATCGAGAATTATGCCACAAGCTTGTTGACGGCTACTCAAAGCGTCTCGTCGAGGCAAAGCATTGTAAGGGACATTAGAGAAATAATAGTCAAGTTATATTTGTTATTAAAGATGTATGCTGTACATAAAGCACGTGTATCATTCCACCCTGGGAAAAAACAGTTCAAAGAGGTTATTTAAAATTACTGTCACGTTTATGTTCACGATGAGCGTCTGCAAACTTCTGACCACCATCAGCTAATAAGAAACCATTTTAACCTCCTAAGACCCAAACTCTTTCATGGCATGCGTTTTTAATTTCTCTTTGATATTTGGGCTGATTGGGACCTGATGAATGTAAAAACAAACAATTACCAGTTGTTGTTTTGTTTTTTAACCTGATTTTTGTTTCTAAGAAAAATGAGAGCCACATATGAGGATATTCGTTTAAAATTCGATAGAACAGTAGCAGTATAATGTCCTCGTAAGTGGATATCAGGCCCTTGTAGAGCAAAATTGAGTATTTTGTTCTAAATAACCCAAAATATGATGTCCACATATGTGGACGCCAGGTCCTAGGAGGTTAAAGCAAGTTTGCTATACCAGCCTAAAATGTGATGATAGGCATGGAGCAAATACTGGAGATTCGTACTCTGTGTGTGAAACATGTACTTGGATAAAAGAGAAAAAAGCCTAGGGGTATTAATCTTATGTCACTGCCTATATACCGGGGAGAAGAACCAAAGGATGATTGCACTCCCATACTGAAATAAAGCACTTAGACCTGACTGATTTCCACTGCTGACAGCTTTGCACACATAACAGAATTTTTAGAAGTCCACCACGTTAGAGTCAGAACCTGCTGTTAATGGCCAACAACCTCTGTCTTCTGTCTCCTCTGTGGCAGGTACTTTCAGATAGCCCGGTGCTACAGAGACGAAGGCTCCAAACCAGACAGGCAGCCTGAATTCACCCAGGTGAGATGGAATACACACAAGTTTGAAGCGCCACAGTTTAAAAAAAGAAAAATACATTTTTCAGTCTGTTTCAGACATGAGATATTTGAAATTGCTGGCCAACCTCCCATATATCTGTTTACAAGTAGTCCTCTTCATGCATGTGTGACATATGCAGCACACGCGCAGCAGTGCAGGCAAATAGTTGTGTGCACACTCACAGACACAGCTGAACATGGACATTTAAAAAAAAAAAAAAAAACTAACAGGAGAAGTTGCAAAAGCTATCCAGAGCTCAGAGCCAACTGCGGTAAGAGCAACAAATCAAAACAAATGACAGATTCGTGAAAAAGAGAAAACGACTGATGTCCTGTTAGCTTTGAGTATATGATTAAACTGCCTTTCCTATACTGGGAGTCAAACCTCAGCTGCCTGTGTGAAAATCTGGAATCTTAACCACTAGAAGTTTGTTCAGTTTCTGAAATAAAATGTCTGACTTCAAACCCGCCCATACGGAAAAGAAATAGTAAAAACTTATATGTGATTACTCATGAAAGTGGCCACTTTCATGAGTAAATCATATAAGGCTTACATGATTTACTCATGAAAGTGGCCATTTCATGAGTAAATCATATAAGGCTTACATGATTTACTCATGAAAGTGGCCACTTTCGCATTACTTTCATACATTGTTTTAGTAAGTATCCAAAACATACAAGTTTCATTTTATAATTTTTCAAGGGATCTTATATCTGTTTTCACACTTATATGCTTTTCATACAAGTTTCACACAAGACAGATACAAACTTTATAAGATTTATATATATATCTTTTCCATATGGGCGATTTCGTACCACTTGTGTGTGTAGACCACCTGTTAGTTTTAATATTTTATCAGCTGACTGGTGCATTCAACAGCTAATTAAACTGTGTAGTGTAGCTCACCTGCCTGAAGTACAGGTGAGCATACTGGGTGTTGAATCCAGGCCACTTGTGTGAAAAACAGGAATCCTAACCTGTATCAAAATGTTATGCTTCAAATCTAATTGCGTGCCGTTCGTGCATGTAGTCCAGGATTCTCCTTCTCAAACTACTGTGACAAATTGGATATTTTTGTCCTCTGCTGAGCCTAAGCATTATGGATTTTTTTTTTTAAATCCACAAAAGTTATATATAAAGGTACTGCTAAGATTTGATATTTTACCACCCCACTGTTGCATAAAACTGCTAAAAAATAATAATTTAAAATGCTAAGAAATGTAATAATAAAGTACTTAAAGGACGAATTAAAAAAACTAATACAGAATAATTAAACTGTACTTTTTACATGGCAGCTCACTTCCCAGATGTAAAGCACACAATATAATTTACTGTAAATCTTGATCGAGCCTGTCTCGATGTTTCAAGTTGATTCCAAAGCTCTTTTTTGTTTGGATCCTGCTGCTGCTGGAATTCTTTTACAGCTGTGAGTGAAAACATTGCAAACAATGATGTGCGTAATTTAAAAGGTTTGCTGATTTTGCACCAAAATAAGATTTGCAAACACATACTGGTGCCATCTTTGCTCCTGTGATATTTTATCACAGATTTCAATTCAGGATTGTGTGAGTACCATGTGTCTCTCCTGTAATCTGAGTACATATAGTCCGATTAGTCTGGCCCATAGACCGGCCTGTTGTCACATACATGTGACATGTTGGATCATGTCATGTTGTCTGAATTCTGAAAATCCTCTTGTCGTTTCTCCCAGGTGGACATAGAGATGTCTTTTGTGGACCAGGCAGGTATCATGTCACTGGTGGAGGGTTTGCTGCAGTACTCTTGGCCTGCAGAACGTGGTCCTCTTAAGGCTCCTTTCCAAACTCTGACATATGAAGAGGCCATGAGGGACTACGGTGTGGACAAACCCGACACCAGATTCAACATGAAGGTGTTTGATTTCTTGGGGTCCTAACTGAAACTATGTCCTTACTGAACATGCTACATCTTTTACTCTTTTGTTTAATGTCAACATGAGTGAATTATATGATTTTTTTATTTTATTTGTCTATTTGTGCAGCTAATAGACCTCAGTCAGATCTTCCTTTCCACGGAAATTGAATTCCTCCAATCAGCTCTTGGCCAACCAGGAGGCTCCGTTCGGGCCGTCTGTGTCCCCAGTGGAGCAGTAAGAACAGAACCATTTCCTGTGGCAGAGAATGCTGAAAATGTAGAACAGAAGATGTGTTTTTGTGCCACAAGAGAAGCTGACAACTCTCATATGTGAATTTGTGTGTCTCACATTATGTTTTCTTTCTTGTAACAGAAACTTTTCACTGGGAAGGATTTGGAAGAACTGAAACAAATAGCCAAGACTCAGTTTGGACAGGTAGGTCTCTTATCCTTTTCTTTCTTTTACGCCTCACGTTGTTCTGAGATAAACACTTGTGTGTTACAAACACTTGTGTGTTACAAACACTTGTGTGTTACAAACACTTGTGTGTTACAAACACTAGTAGAAAGTCACAAGTTGTGTTTTCTCCTCGTGCGTTAAGGAGCTGAGCCTGGTGCTGGTCAGAGCAGACGGGACATTGAAGTCTCCCCTGAAGAAGCTGCTGTCTTCGTCTGTCACAGACGAGCTGCTGAAGTGGACTGAAGCCAAGCCAGGAGACCTGCTTCTGATTGCAGCAGGCTCCCACCACACTGTTGTAAGAGGCTTGGTTTGAGTCGGCTGTCAAACAAAGAAGCACAGAGCTGATACAAACGCTCCCTTCATCTGACTCTCTTTTCTGCTTTCAGTGCCCATTGCTGGGTCATCTTCGCCTGCAGTGTGCAAAGCTCCTGGAGTCTCATGGTGTGGTCGTGCGTGACCCCTCAGCCTTCCACTTCCTGTGGGTCGTGGACTTTCCTCTCTTCTTGCCCAAAGAAGATGATCCAGAGGAGCTGGAATCAGCTCATCATCCATTTACTGCACCAGTGCCAGAGGACACACGGTTACTCTATACTGATCCACATAAGGTACTCGTGTAGTACTTTATTAGTTATTTTTAATTATGTAGAAAAATGCAGGATGTATCGTCTGTTTGTAAATTCTGTATTTCACAGGTTCGTGGTCAGCACTATGACCTGGTGTTAAATGGCTGTGAGATCGGAGGAGGCTCCATTCGCATCCACAAAGCCTCAGAGCAGTTTTATGTACTGAAGAATGTCCTTAAGGTCAGTGGCTTCCTCCATCTTGGTGCAGTTCAGTCTTTCACTTATGAAAGAGTGGGACGTTTCAGTGTTAACACTAACTGTTTCCAACTGTTTTTGTGTTTCAGGAGGACCCCGGACTTCTCTCCCACCTCCTCGAGGCCTTGGATTCAGGAGCGCCGCCTCATGGAGGCATTGCTCTGGGTGAGCTCAACTCTGCTCGATTTATCACTGAGCTCGTATATGACTTACATGTGTGCATACACTGGGTTTTTACTAACCACACGGTATCAACCTGATATCATTGCTTTCACTCTAAATACTGTTTGTAGGCGGTCCAGTTTCCCTAACCACTGAAAAGAGATCAGTGTATTTTCTTGAATTGCTCTTAGCACTAACACATATCCATGGCAACATGCTTGATTTTAGTTACACATGTTTCTCCATTAGTTGTATATAAATCCCCACTATAGCACTAACTGGGTAATTATTAGTGTTCCCATGCCATTCATTAGGCAGGTCATTCTTCAGCCCACAAACCACTGTCTCGTGCTACAACGCCAGCAGCTAAAGTCCACATAATTATTTACAGTGCTGGACCAAGACAATAAGGATGGATCAGTTTATAATTCATTTGTGGGATTTTTATGTTTTAGCTCATAACTGTATGAGATTTCTCAGAATGTTTGTTGTTCAAACTTAGAGTTAACATTTTGGTACGCTGAACAGAGAAGGAGAGACACTTACAGTTGGATGGTACTTTTATTAAAATTTCTGGTCAATTTGTGCATCCGAGTTTGTGAATGAATAATTTAAGGCTGGAGTAACTGTGTGTGTTTGTTTTTTTTTTTTTTTTTTTTTTTTTTTTGGGGGGGTCCATTTTTGTTATTATATATTTTGTGCCATATCCCAGCATCAGGCACCTTAAGGCACCTAATATTGTAAATACTCTCTAAAAAATAATACAGAGAGAACCCAACAATCTTGAAATGTCCTTTGAGCAAGCACTTGGTGACAGAGGGAAGGAAAAGCTCCTTTTTAACAGGAAGACACATCTAGCAGAACCAAGCTCAGGGAGGGGCGGTCATCTGCTGTGACTGGTTGGAGGTGAGGGGAGGGACACAGGACAAAAGACATGCTGCAGAGACACAATCCAAACTGCTCTGTAGTTTGTGAGTCTTGTGGTTCTTTGTTTGGTATTTGTTTTGTGTGAAGTGTGTGAATAGAAATGATAAAGTTGAAAGCTGTACTTTCTGGTTTGACCACAGGGTGGCAACACTGTCACTGTTTGTGTCATTAGCTGGCACACAGTGACACCTGAATAAGATGTTCAGAGCAGAGCAGCACCGGGCCTGAATGGAGTTTCAGTAACTGTGAGCAAGTCAGTTATTGTGCAAAATGATTTGGGTTTGGAAGATGTGACTTGACAAATGCGCAGCAGTGCTGAACTTGTCTGACTCTTACTATTAGCCCATTTCAGCTGTATCTGTCTGTACCATTCGACTGAACACGATCAAGCTTTTTTCTGCCAGGTCCTTAGTATAAAATGCATGTATTGCGAAGCCTGCATGGACAATTGAACAGTGAATTCAGAGTAAATTGTGCAATATTGAACAGTATATTGATCAAGTTGTCTCTTTATTTCTTTATCCTTTTCTAGGTTTGGATCGACTGGTCTCAATAATAGTCGGAGCTCCCAGCATCCGCGACGTAATCGCCTTCCCCAAGTCATTCCGCGGTCATGACCTCATGAGCCGTGCACCCGACTTGGTGTCTGAAGAGGACCTGAAGTGTTACCACATTTCTGTTAAAATGCCAACAGAGCAAGGAAGAGAGGGAAAGTGATTAAGAAGAACCACAGACATCGAAGGATGTCTGTGTAGTCCCAGGTCTGGTGAGGCTGAGGAGATGTGCAGACTATCAGCAGACAGCAAAAAGACTTTGAGGCTGTAAGATCTGTGCCAGATGGCAAAACAACAGAGACAAGAGATACTTGTGGCTGCATTGATGCTGCCGTCCCTCTATGTTTGTGGTCCTTCGTATCAAGTTTTTTAGATATTTATATCTTTTTACTGATTCTGTACAGCTGCTTATTATGGGGTGGTTTGGTGTACATGTTCAAATGAGGCATTATATGAAATAATAATAAATCTATAATGTCATTGTTTTTGATGCCAAGAAGTTCAATTTCAGCATGTGCAGAACTTTAAAATCCAAAAGTCAGAGATTCTCACTTATGGCATTACGATAAAAAGAACCCAATTTTAGTAAAAATATTAAAAACTAATAATTTTCATAAATCATGAACAGTTTTGTGACAAAATATGATTTTTTGTTAGGTAAAGATCGGTTTCCAAAGCTTATCTAATATTTATTGGCTATAGTAAGTTTTTTTTAATCATCCTAATGTATTTTTTCTAAATGGAAGAATTTTAGTAGTAATAAAAATAAGTGCTATCTGGAAGTTTAACGGCAATTTAAAAAAAAAAAAAGTCAAGACGCAGAAGAACTGACAGCAGTGACGAAAGCAGCAATAACCCGGAAGGGAAGTGAGCAGTCGCGACATCTGTAGGTGCATAGGGAAAATGAGTGAACAGAGGTGTGTTTGTTCTGCTGTGAACACTTGGCTCGTTTCAGTTAGTTAACAGCGAGAACCAGGAGCGGGGGAGCTGTCCAAGAATCGGAATGTCGTTCTAAACGGGAGCGGTGGCCTCGTTTTTGGGTGAATTCTCTCAGACATGTCGGACGATGCTAAACGGCTAGTCAGCTGCTAAAAAATAGGCAGTGTGTTGGGTTATTTGACAGCTTGTTTCCTAGCTTTGTTTTAGCACAGTCGACGTGTTTATCAGAAGATTAGCTGGCAGTTGTGAGGCAACGCGGATCTAGGTTTTCGTGACTGGCGGCGGGGGACAGCCACGTCAGCTAGCTCCTGTAAGCACTTATGTGCTTTTATTTTGGATTTGAGTAATCATTTTCCGGCTAAAAAACCCGAAAAGGCTCTCCGTGTAGCCATGGCTCCGATGGGTATCCGGTTGTCACCGCTCGGTGTGGCGGTGTTCTGTCTCCTTGGAGTCGGTGTCATCTACCACCTGTATTCCGGGGTCATCTCCAGCCGCCTGGCTGCCTTCAGGTCCCAGACTCCCCTCTCAACACAGTAAGTGGTAAAACGTGATAAAACTTGTCACTGCTCGTAGAGTGTCTGTGGTTTTATTCTCATGTACATGTCTCTAAAATGCATTTATTTTCTTGTCAGCTGACACAATTCTTTGTTAATAGATGAAGCGCGCGAGTTTATCTGGTGACAGTATGACGCCAAAGAACTGTGCTGATGCGTGTTCGTAATTTCTCTCCCTGACGTTCTTATTCGCACACATTTTTATGGGATCTGCTGTTAGTGAGCCCTACAACTGCAGCATACACTTTATACCAGGGGTGCCCAATCCCAGTCCACGAGGGCCGGTGTCCCTGCAGGTTTTAGATGTGTCCTTGATCCATCACAGCTGATTTAAATGGATAAATGACCTTCTCAACATGTCTTGAAGTTCTCCAGAGGCTTGGTAATGAACTTATCATGTGATTCAGGTGTGTTGACCCAGGGTGAGATCTAAAACCTGCAGGGACACCGGCCCTCGCGGACTGGGATTGGGGACCCCTGCTTTATACTATCTGTACTCGGAGCGGATGTTAGTCCGCTCCTGGTATACTGCCAGCGGGGCAGTCCAACCAGATTAACCCATCACATGTCTGCACCGTGCACAATACATCATACATGGCATCTGCAGGTGTCAGTGGTTTTATGTACCGTTCCCTCACAAAGAAACTACCTGTAAGGTTTCTTAGAAAGGAACCTATTAACACCTTCTGGCAGATGATCTCAGATTTATTGATGTAATTGTAACTCAAACTCTGATGTTAATCTTCATGGTTGAGCTGAAATCTGGTCAGAATGAAGAAGGTGCACATATGTGACAGGTTAATCTGGTTGGTCTTCCCCGTTGGCAGCATACAGGGAGAGCTCACTAACATCCACTCTGAGAACAGATAGCAGTTGGTACCTCACTGTCACCAGGTAATCTGAAACACAGGCTCATATCACTCTTACATTTACATGTAACACTTGACAGTTTCAGGCAGTAAAATTAAAGTATAAGTGTCTTTATTTTTCAATAAGTTAAGGAAATAACTTGCCACAGTTTCAATGGATTTAGTTCTTCTCAAGGCTGTCACTTCATGCAGCCCCACTATGATGCAGGGCTTTGTGAGGCACATGCAACATGTGGCAGGGCTCTTTGTTCTGAACTTGACTCTGAATGATTTTGCCTGTGCAGTTGGCTTTGTTGTCCTGCAGAATGAATATGCCTTTCTAAACGACTCTGTGTAGTTTAGGGGAAAAAAAATAGAGATAGAGAACTGGCTTTAGTTAAGAGGGTTGTAATCAGTGTGGGTTTTGTGAATACTGTGATAGCACTGGTATGTTTTGTTTAAAAAATGCCTAGGACTAGCCTTGATGTAGTTCTGTGACACTGTTTGAAACTAAACACTGCCTCAGCCCATTTTAAAATCTCCAAATCTTTGGCTAAATACCCACACCTATAATCACAAGGCTAAGATGAAGCTATGTCATCCCTTTTCTAGTTCTTTATTGACAAGACCAGCCAGCAAATGAAGAATAACATTCAGTACTGCGCAAAAGTCTTGATCCAGCCTTCATTTCTTACTAAAAAAATGTTAAATAGCTGCAGCAATTTATTGAAACATTCAAGCATACAACACAAACGTGTTTGTGTAATTTCAAGAAGTTTGAAAGGCTGAACTCTCTTAGGTAATCTTTCCTATAATTTCTTTAAGTAGTCGAAGGACATTCAAAGTTCTTTGGATGTTGGCTGCGTTTTGTTCCGTTCTCTTGTCAAAATCATCCCACCCTGAGTCAATAATGTTTAAGTCCCAGCTCTAAGGATGCCAATCCATGATTGATGATGTTCATTTGTCCATTTTTCTATCCGGGTACTCTTTTACTACGTTTGCAGAGTCTTTGGGATCTTTTTCATGCTGAAAAATGAAAGAGTTTAAGATACTGCTTATCTTTATTTTTTAGGCCCACTTTTTCTTTTGTCCTCTACTTGTTTAGATTCCTCAACATTATTTTGCTAAGGATGCACTTTGTACCATGCAGAGATAGTCCAAGTTTTCAGCTAAAAGCTGATAAGCATTTTATTATCCGATGCCTTTCAACCTGTTATCTTGGGTATTTTTGTAACTTCAACTAAAGAAATTGGAGTAAACTTTATTATACTGCTGCTAATAAAGTGCTTAAATAGAACTTAAAATTGGCTCTTTGCTAAGTTGTCTTTCATGTGTAGGCAGAACGCTGGCTCATCACTTGAGCTGGATGCCTTTTTTATGTGTGAATGATTTATATGTCAGTGTTAAGTGGTTTAAGAAAGAAATATATTCATCTCACAATGATCAGGTTCAAATACTGGACTGAAAATGACGGAATGTCAGAGGTCATTCAAGCTCCCATTTCAACAACATTGAATTATTAAATAGTTACCAGAAATGTCAACCTGGCTGGTGTGCGTGTGAATTTTTATTAGCGATCACCCAATAGCAACATTAATCATTGTCATTAAGGTAATGGCTACCAGACTGTAGTTGGATAAAAGATCAATAAATATTGCAGGCTGAATGGTTTGCATATTGAGCTGTGGCAGAGTGGACACAATGCTCGCTGTGTGGAGGACCAAAGAGTGAAATCCAGAACGGAGCAGTCAAATCAGACTGTTTGAGGCCTGAAGAGCTGCGACTGAGGCAGAGCAGTGTGAACTTTTTTCTTCTTTTTTTTTCAGTTGTTTTTATTTTGGCATAAGCTCACTTTATCCAAAGTTCATTTTTAATATTTTCATAGTGCTGCTCTTTTATAATAATTAAATTATTTGGATGTGTTAGGTATTGTATTGTTTGCTGTACCCTTTGTTTATTAGTAGGTTCTAAAATATAATTTACTGTCATGATCTGTAATGAAATGATTAAAACCTCCAAACGTGATCCTAAATACGTAGCTGAGTAAAACTAACGTGTAACTGGGAAAATTTGATAAAAGTTAACAAGTTTACTTTGTCAAGAAATGACGTACTTGTCATTACTGCTATTACTTCAAGATGAGCTCAAAGCTTTCCCCATAGTATCAAAAGTACTACTAAATATTATTGAGTTTGAAATTCTAGCATCATATAAAACCTGATAAGGCTCATACAGTTTCAGCAGGTTAGCTGTGAGGAAAAGTTCATTGGGAAGCTAACGATTCTTGTTTTGTCCATTTATCCATGCAGGCAGAGAAGAACAGTGGACTTGAGGGACCTGTTGGCTGTCTCAATGGAGGCAGCAGAACTAGGTGGCAAAGAGGTAAGAGTTCAATTTTATTTAAGCCCCATATGACTGAAAATAAAATTTCTTGCCACTGACAAATTTGTGTCAATCTCTGATTGTAGTTAAATATTGATGTTTTTATGTTTCAAAAGAAAAAAACCTTTCTAAACGACTCCTTCACAGATATCAAGCAAACCATCTGCAAAGTGTAGAATAAACTGGATAATGAATGAATTTATAGAGAAAAGTAAGCCACACACAGCCATCATTAGCTGGTGAAAATGTGAGCTTTGTTTTGCTTTGTAAATCTCTCTAGGTAAAGCAGGTGCGTGAAGAAAATGTCCTGCAGGAGAAATCAAAGGGCAAAACAAAGGAAGGAGCTAACGATCCACTCACTATGGGCGACCTGCAGTCTCACAGAAAGATGTTTTACCTACTGAAGAACACATTCCCTGAAGTTACGGTGAGCCCAGATTTCTTTACTTCTGCATGCTGCCTTGAAATCTCCTGGGAAAACACAAATTATCTTGCCTTGTATTTGTTGGCAGGTGAGGGCTCTCATTTATAAGCGGCTCCACAAATCTGGGAGTTAAATCACAAACTGGGACTAATCTCCCTCTCTGTGTGTTTGTTTTTAGGTGAACAGTGAAGAACACGACAACATGGAGGATAATTCAATACAATGGAGCCAGAACATTCCAGGTGCAATAAGTGAGAAGTTTAAGGGGAGCAGTGACATTCCAGTCGAGAGCATTACTGTGTGGATCGATCCCCTAGACGCGACACAGGAATACACAGGTGTGCATATCACTGACGCTCAGCCAGCCTCATCTCATACTGATATCATATTTGAAGTTCCACAGGAGAATGGTATATTCAACTAATAGTGTGGCAGCTTGTGTGCTCTCAGTGAGGTTTTTCTTATTTTGTGTATGATGTTTGATGATGTCAAATCTACCATTTTCAAAACAAAAGATAGAATAGACTATAGAGGGTTTGTGTGTGTCTGTTTATTCTATTCAAAATGGGACACGCACTCTAGAGTGGTTGAGCATGGCCGAGCTAAGATCCTGTGGGACTTCCAGATACGGATTGGCTAACCAACCGGACATAGTAGTGGTGGACAAGCAGAGGAAGACGGCTGTAGTGATAGATGTAGCAATACTTAATGACAGCAACATCAGGAAGAAGGAACACGAGACGCTCGAGAAATACTGAGAGAAAGGCTCGAGAAGATGTGGAGGGGGAAGGCAACAGTAGTCCATGGTAATTGGAGCGCTCGGTGCAGTAACCCTGTCTCGAAAACATGTAATTAATTCCCATTTCTTGAATTGAATCTGCAAAAATAATAAATATATTTTCATAGGCATTAAATAGTATTTCTGCACCAAAAAGGTGATTCTGAAAGTGCTGTTAGATGGAAACGTGGTGTATTTTGGCATGGTGTGGACAAGAGAACATAAGACAAATAAATAAGGGATTGCTCAAGCCTTTTGGACAATACTGTATAAAATCATTTGTTGGAAATTGACACAAGTTCAGTAAAGATCTGTTTGTTTCCTCGACACAAGGCCATTGAACATGCTCAGAATTGCACAACTGAGATGTTTTGGTTTATTCTAAAGCTCATTATTTGTTAAATAAAGAAAAATATATCCTGATAAAATGTCTTTACAGTCAGTATTGTTATATAAAACAGTGTTATATAACAACAATTGACCTCTTTATTAATATAGAGCAGGAGAAACTCCGCTGCATTCTCGTTTTAATATAAATTATTAATTTATATTAAAATGAGATTAAAATTGAATAATAATTTATTTGTAAAATATATCATGTCATTAGCATTCTTTCTCATGATGTACCCGGGTAACAGTTTAAATGTTGGCCTGTTTCGTTGGCAGCCTCCCAGATGGAGGAACACACTGGGTGCTGATGTGTATTTGTGAGACTGACTCTGTGAACGTGTCCTTATGTATGCGCATACTGAGTCTCTGTGGGTGACAGGCTGTGCACATGACCTACTTTCGTTTAAAATTAGTATGCTGGTTGCTGTACGCTTGAAAAGCGTGCAGTGGGCGGTAATTAAAGCAGAAGTGTGTTTAGAGATGATTAGTTGATTTAGGTGACTGACAATGAGTCGCCGACGTCCAACGTTTCCACCGGCCACAGTGACGTGTTCTAAACTGAAGCATGTTGATTTCTTAAGAAGTAGCATGTGAGGCTGCGGAAAGGCTTTCAGTGCCATGCAAATTTAATATGAAAGTGATACTTGTATTGTGCTGGGATCCATAACTGTGTTATTAAGGAACATTTCTGTGGAAAAAGTAAAGCCAGAGAGAGTCATTTTCAAACGCTTGTATATCAAGCTTAAACATTTAAACTGCCACGGGACCCTTTGGGTTTTAACAACAGCATAAATTATTGTTGTGATTCATGCATTTTATTCTAGATTAAGATGTCTTTTTATCCGTTTCTGTCTTATCCTCATTCTGCCTTCTGCCTCTTTGCTCATCTGTCCACAGAGAATCTGGTGAAATATGTGACCACCATGGTGTGTGTGGCTGTAGATGGTAAACCTGTGATTGGAGTTGTACACCAGCCATTTGCTGGCTTCACTGGTAAGGTTAAGTGCTTCAGCCGCTTTCACATTAAACAAGGCTCCACATTTTATTGTTACACATCCAGTCCAATAATATAAGGTCATTGTTGAGCGAAGTCAGCTTCTTGGGTGATTGGCCAAGTCCATCACTTGGTGAGTTTTCAGGGGCGTTTTCTTTTTCTAAGTTATTGGTCTTCCCATTTGGGAAGTCATCTTGGTAAATAAGTAAACTGTAAAGCACAACTGCGTCACAATTGCTGTGTTACGGTGCAGAAGCAGCAAATTCTGGTGCTACACAGTTAATCAAATGTCAAGTGCCGGAAACCATTCGTTCCTCTTCCTTTGGAGCTTGGCCAATAGAGGCTGGCTCTAAAAGTATCACATTCTCTGTAGACTTCCCTGTTACAATGCCCAATTTGGCCATAAAGAATTTTTAATAGGCTGGTATAAAAACCTGTTGTGCTGTCAGTGGATATTTCTCACTTCAGCAGCTGTACAGGGTTGAATATGTTTACAACTTACCTCTGGATTTTCTTAAGGACTACTGTTATTAGGGGCATGGCTGCTTGGACTGACAGTTGAAGGCACAGGCAGCTCTATCTGATGGATGTCTGTGAGGCGTCACCTTCGTTAATAGTTTGGCTATTTTGCTGTGAGGCACCGAACACCCGATACACTTTGTGCATACATTGTACGTTTTAAAAAAAAAAAAAAAAGCTTCTTGCTCTGCATTTTGAAGCCTCGTGTCTCAGCTCCTAAAAACAGATCTCCCTCTTTATGTTCTAAACATTCACCAGCTGCTAATGCAATGAGCAGCATACACCATTTTAAAGCCAAAATAATCCAGAAGACTTATTGTGTTTATTTGTATTCAGAGCGCCACTATTACACTGCACACACCTGCATATTGGCATTTGTCAATCACTTGGAAAAGTTGAACATATACAAAAAAACATGTGTAACTTTGGGCCAAATTGCTTTAAATGTATTTGGGGTTTTTTGCAAACATTTATTCATTTATTTTAACTGTAAAAGACTTTTTCTCTCTCTGAAAAAGAGACATTTACAGCTTCTTCCGTCTCTCTGTGTACTTTTCATCATTCCTTCAGCCTGGGCGGTCGTAGGTCATGGATCAAATGTGAATCGCCGCTCATCCTACAACGCCAGCCCTAAGAAAGTGATAGTATCACGTTCTCACTCTGGAAAAGTTAAAAATCGTATTCGGAATGCTTTTGGAAACAGCACAACAATCATAGAAGCAGGTGGAGCAGGTGAGTGGTCCCTTACATTTATTTAATATTTAAAAGTCAAAGGCTTTAATTGCACTTAAATGTCTAGTTTTCAAATCCATTTTCCATTCACACAAAGACTTTGTGTTGCAGTCAGTTAGTTAGTTTCTATAATTTAAGAAAATGCGCTGCACAGTGTGTTGTTGCTTTTTTTTTTTCTAATGTATGTTTTTAAATTTTAAAAATTTTCCTTTTTTCCTGCTTTCAAACATTAGTACAAGATGTCATACCTCAGCTATGGCGGATGAGGATGCTAACATGGTTTAATATTTCTGTCTTTCTCAGGATACAAAGTACTGTCACTGCTGGACACACATTCAAGTGAGACAAGCCTTACAGAGGAGGCAGATGTTTACGTCCACACCACCGTTATTAAGAAGTGGGACATCTGTGCTGGTGCTGCACTACTGACTGAACTGGGTAACGTAGCAAAGATTTTTTTCCAGCCTGTCCTGTTTTCCCACTTCATTAAATTAACAAGAGCATTGTGAGATGGTACGTCTCAGACGAGGCTAAAAAGATCACTACACAATAAGCACGAGTCCTCGTCAAGAAGCTTCTGGTTCCAGTTTCATTTGAAAAGATTTAATACATTATCCTATTTTTATATAACTGTCCATAATATTTTGGACAATCCAAACAGCAAACTGAACCAATCATGCAGCCTCCTTAATGAAAGTAACAGTTATTACCTTAGGCTGCATGTTGGCTTAACTACACCTAAACAGATACTTCAAAAGAAATGAAATACTAAATGCAGCTGTATTGTTGTCCAATGACCATTTCAATCATGTAATCACTGTGATTGTAGGGGGCCAAATGACAACTCTAAAGGGAGAGAACATCGACTACAGAGGAGCTCCAGAAAATGAAGGAGGACTGGTGGCCAGTGTAGGTATAGATCACGAGGCCTTACTGAAAAGACTACGAGGTAACACAGACAATGACAAGCAGTGAAACACACGGAGACAGGGCCATAGGTGGTTTGATTAGGGTGACACAGCAGCCAGCAAGAGTGGGCTGGAAACATAATCAGGCCTGCATGATTTCATCATCATGGGACACCAAACATCTACCATCAAGTTGCACTGGAGTCACAATTACCAGCATGGACAAAAGAGCAGGACTGTGGAGCCAAATTGGCTATGACTGGAAACTGCAACAGCTGGCACAATGGCTCTGAATACTCACTCCTCTGAAAGCATACTTTCTTGCAGTGTGGAGAACCGACATGTCTTCCTTTTGTCAGGAACTTGCATACAAGGACATACAGTGGAAAACAACCCCCCACCCCCCAAACTGAGGAGCACAACACTGAACACTGCAACAAAACCCACAGAGGGACATCTCTGGTGTTCATCGTCTTTATCACAACAATCAGAAGAGAAAACAAGAATAAGAAAAGAACATGTTACAGGCAAGCACACTAGAATACTCATCAAGATTGAGTAATCCCCCTCATTATTATTATTATTATTATTAGTATTAGTAGTAGTAGTAGTACTAATAGTACCATAGTAGTATTATTTGAGACTGGGCAAATACACTCCATATGTCTTCATATCATAAACTTCCACTGTAATATGGGGTTAACTACCCTATGTTATATGAACACATCACAGTTCACTTGTAATAGTTTACTTTGCTGTTCTTGATCACACTTGAGCTGCAGGTCTATCAAACTGTAGTCCAGGGTCTCTTGTAATATATACACCCATCCATCCATCCTCTTCCGCTTATCCTTGTCAGGGTCGTGGGAGGGCTGCAGCCTATCTCAGCTACACTGTAAAATATATTCAGTCACGAGTCAGTCAGCACATGTATTTCACAAGATGTAGTCCAAAATGTCTGCTTCTACTCCTATAAAAATCAAAAGGCTATTTGCGGTCTGATCCTGGGACAAATACAAATTGATGATGTAGCATGCTCCTGACCTGATAGACCACCTTTGGGCTTGGACACTGAAAGCTGCTTTTTAGTCTGCGAGTTGTGACTCACGGCCTGTTTCTATTCATCCTGAGAGCTGCATGAAGGTTTGGTCGTTTCGACACAGGTTGTGATGTTTGCTCTCTGTGAAGTCCAAATATGAACTCCCAGAGAGTATGGGATATGACTGCAAGATTGAACAACCATACCAGATTTAAATTGGATTATCATTTTTAAATGTGTACAGTAAAGGGACTTTTTCCCACACCACATGATGTCCTTCCTTTCTCTTTCAGTGATGGGAGCTTTAATCAGCTAAAATAATGCAAAAGTTCCTATATTTCTGCATTCCTCTTCAGATTCCTGCAAATACATGAGTCAGACTTAGCGTGACGTCAGTCAGCACCTTCTCAGCTACTTCACACAGCGTCGCCTCCACCGTTTTACATACATGAGCAGAACATCAAAGCTAAAGACTACAGATTATACAGCAAGGGGATCTCACCTCTGCCGAGAGCAGTGTATAAGTCCCACCACATAAGCTCAGTCAAAATCATTGACATCAATTTAAAAGCAGAACGTCACAAGAAAATCAATCGTGTGTTTCAGTGGTGTCATGTTGCCATCAGCTAAATGTAACTTTTCTAAAAAACCTTTCATAGAGAAATGTATTTCACAGATGTATGTAAAACAACCTGAGCTGGACTGATGTATATTGTCTCCAGTTTGAAAACAATTTCTGCTACTGTGCAGTCTACACACTTGGAAAATTAATTGACGGGAAAAACTGCTGAAATGCCGGTGCCAGATTTGGTGGATGCTAAACTGTACACTGACTCCATGTGCATGGTTTTGAATTTTGATTAGCCTTTTAATTCTCTTAGTACTTCATCATACTGAAAATGTTGAACCTCTTCCTGCTTACTGCTCTGAAATCTTTCTGTACCGTCTGTCTGATATTTCTATAACCCCTGAAGCTGGACTGTTTCACTGTGAAATAATGCTAAATTGTGAAAAATCCCAGCGAAATACAAAGTCAAGGATGTGTCTTGAGCTTGTGAGTGACCTGTTCCTTTAGTTTGACTTGGGACCTTTTTGGTTGTTCCAAAAGTTCAATGGTGGGATTGGTCTGTTACAGACTGATGGTACTGCAGCTGTTTGAAGGCTGTTAGATGTTGGGTTTGCTAAGTGTAAAATATACAGTGTGACAAATTTCCATTGTACCTGATTTGAGTGTGTTTGATCTGCACTAAACTAGACTGTCAATGAATGTTTCTATGCTAACATCGGTTGATATACCAAGCGTCATTCTCTGTAGGCAGTTTAAGAGGGATTAGAGACTTTTCAAGTACTTGGGTAATGTTTCTTTGTGTTTGTGTTTTTGTGAGTGCTGTACATTGCCTTACTTTGTGCTTTTGTGTGAGAACTGTTTTCTAAGCTGGTGGCTCCATAAGGAGCTGCAAGAAATCTAAAGTCATTTTAACACAAGAACACATGTGTGCTACATATAAGAACGTACAACTGTGGAAAATATCCTGAGCTGATTTTCTGAGGTGAAGATTTTTTCTGCATAAAGTCTGCAGTAGATTTTTTATTTTATTTTTATTTTTTAAATTTACTCAAGCGTTAAATCTTTTTCCCTTCCCAAATGGTTAGAAAATGGAAAGTAAATTCCCAGATATCTTGGCCTTGACTGAATGTGAACCAGTTGTGATGATATGTTGTTTGTTTGGAACCAGAAAACCCTGGAGCTTCATGTGTGAAAATGTCTTCAAGTGATGCTATATCCATTAGTTTGTTGGTTCTACAAGAAAAGTTTTGAATTAAATAAGAAAAATATGAGAAAATATTATTAAGATAGAAGTCAGTTACAGACCTTTGTTGCCTTCTCCTCACACACTTGTAGGCAGCAGGTTTTCATTAGGAAAATCAATCTACAGTGAATCTGTAGGATACAATTATTAGACATTAAACAGGGCTACCATGCTCATAGACACCTGTAACTTTTGCTTAAATGGTGTATTCAGTTCCTTAAGCCTTGAGCACAGTGGGTGCTTTAGTAGTCGCAATGTCCTGCTCCTGTCGGACACTTTTAGAAACGATAATCAGTTGACCAAATGTTACCAAATCGTGTAACTTTTGGAAATTTACCAGAGTCCTTCCATTCTGATGTGACGTATTCAGCTGCAATGCTTCAGATGAAATGCATGTAAACCAGTGTTCACACTTCCGACCAGGGGTGGGAATTTGAATACAATATAGACAGAGCCTACTCATCTTGAATTTGTTTTGTTTTATTCTGTGTGGTTATCTGGCTGTCCCTGCCTTTCTAACAAGAGTAGGCTCAATTTGCATTTGGTTCGGACAGGGGATTCACATTTTATTCAAAATAAAACTAATAACAAATGACTTATTATTGGAGTGGGGTAGCAATGAGTTGATAGTCACTTCAGTTTACTGGTTTTAAATACTGTGTCTTCTATAGGACTCTGACACCTGTTTAAATCGTTCTGGTTCCAGCCATACAGAGGTCAAATCAGTTGTGTGGTTAACCTGACCACTCACTCTGCCTCTAACCAGCACATAAGGGCAATAATAATAAACTGTTTCTTTGAATTTGGAAGCTGGGTGGCATATTTATTCCAGTGTCGTCTGGGGCTTTTTACATGAAAGGGTAGTGGACAACTAAATCAGAAGCAATTAATGAAAGTTGGTGTGCTATTTAAAGGCTATGGAGTGAGGGTTACTGTCAGGTGGTTTGCTCTGTGAGTGATTAATCATTCTTTTGCTGTGAATTCTCAATAAAGCATATGTGTGCATGAAGGAATGGGCTGCGTAGTCTTTGATATTACTGTAGCAGACACATGGTAGCACTGAAACGGTTCAAGCATGATATAAAAATAGCACTTTTGTAGAGTCTTAATAACATAAGAAATTCAGATAGAAGACAAAGTGTTTGAATACATCGGTGGTTTCAGGCGTGGTGGTTCCATGGTGTAATGGTTAGCACTCTGGACTCTGAATCCAGCGATCCGAGTTCAAATCTCGGTGGAACCTGGTTATTTTTAAGCTGCATGTCAAGTTAACTCGGACGGATTTGTAATAAATACAGTTGTGGAAATAAAATATAAAATATTCCAGCGAGGAAAGTGTGACAATATTTTTTTATGAGGACCAACTTTTGGCCTGCGCAATGCGTCCATATCACACATGTCCGACGCCTTGATATATTTATTTTCACCTTGTAGACCTCGAAATGGTACCAAATGTCAATATAAATTAATCAAGGCACATGTATTTGTGTGATTATTAATTTGACTTATTTCCCAATTCTGACTATTTCGACCTATGGTCTACGCCAGCTACAATAGTTTCGAGTGAGACTTTTAATTTGAAAAGACCGGAGCACACGTCTGCTGGCTAAGGCGGAAGTGGAACAACGAATGGACGTGTCCAGTGTGACCGTGTAGATAACTTTAAACAAAACATTTGCTTTTTGTACCACGAATATATACTCTTACCATCTTATCTCGCATCCATGATGTTCAACAGACAGACGAGTCTCTGGATGGGTGATGTATGTTTGAAATCCATGTTTCTGTGTGTGATCTTAGCTTAGCTATGTGTGGCGACTGCTAGCTAGGTTGAGTTAGGGTAACCTACTACTTGTAAAATGTTGGTCTAAACTGTCTTCCAGTGTACACAGTTTGAAAAGATTTGGTGTAACATAATTCAATAATACCACATATTAACGATTAACGACGATAAGTCATCAAACAACTCTAATGTTATTGTCTGTGGCCAGGCTCCTCCTCGTATTGTGGCGAGCTTTAGCAAGTGATGCGAGCTAATCATTAAAGTTTAAATATAACGCCAACAAAGATTAACAGATTAAGCCGTAAAAAGTGCCACACACAAAATTATTCTCTAAACTCAAAGTTGGTATAGGGTTAAGCGAAAGGACAATTTTTTTTTTTTTTAGTTTGAAAAAAAAAAACCAAACAAAAAAACAACCTCGGTCTGGAGGCACGCTGTGCCTGTGCTAAAGACACACAGATGATCGATCAAATTCAAATTTTATTTGTCTCACACACACACACACACACACACAACCATACACAGTATGACATGGGGGTGAAATGCTTGTAGCTGTGCAATGCCCGACCATTAAATGACAGAAAAAAGTTTTACAGTATTTACAATTTACAGGTTACTACAAAAATTTACAAATTAACTTGGAAATTTACAGTAAAAAAAAATGTGCAAATAGCAGAAAGAGATTATCAAGATTATAAATTATAGGAAGTTTAATCAGTTTTATTGGTTGTGCGTTGTGACTTTTGCTGTGGGTTTGGGCGACATCAAAATCCCAAATGTGTCGCTTTTTGTCAGTCATGTTAGTTGTGCATTTTCTCATGTGATTTCGAAACCGCTTAATTACATAGGAATGCTAAAATGAGGTTTAATTTGTGTGCGTTTGGTTATTTTTACTAAATATTCTGTAGTAGCTTCTGTAGTAGAAACAAGTATCAGTTAGGCTACGTTCACACTGCAGGTCTTGATGCTCAATTCCGATTTTTTGATCAAATCTGATTTTTTTGTCTGCTTGTTCACACTACAAATAAAATGTGACAGCAAACGCGCTCTAGTGTGAACCCTCAAAGCGGCCCGCGTGCGCAAAAGAAGACGTCACACACAACGCGCTCTGTTTAGACCCAGAGCAAACAATATTGTTTGACTGATGGCCCTTAATGTAAAGACTTGTTTCCGGCTTTACGTTTCCCAATTTTGCTTTAAGTTATAAAGTTATTTTGTTATTTACATTTGGCCTAATAATGATCCTTATCGCTGTTTTAGAGAAGAGCGGTGCTTCAAAGGATAGTTGCAGATTTCTATCAGAATCTGCAGATTATACAAATAAAATGTTCACGTTGTCTTCCCAACAGTTTCACTGACCTCTACACTGGATGGGCAGGAAGCGTTCACATGTCTTCTCTGGCGCTGATAATTGGCGTCTGTCTTGTGTCAGTGACGTAAAAGATGGATTTAATGCGACTTGACCGTTCACACAGCAGTTGCTTTCCAAAATATCAGATATGTATCGGATTCAGCACCACATACGAGAGTGACCCAGATCGGATTTGAAAATATCGGATTTGTGCCGTTCACACTGTCATACCATGATCGGATATGGGTCGCATAGGGTCAAAAAAGTCGCATTTGATGCGCTTTCGCCTAAAGTGTGAACGTAGCCTTAGAACAAAGAGCCATGCTTTGTTGCATTGTACTGTATTACTGCGTAATAACATACAGTAAATCATAAACATGCATTGTATTATATTGCACAGAACCTAATGTGGTGCATATGATGTTTCTTTGTATTTGTGTGTAGCTCGACCCATATATGGATGAGAACTTCATCAAACAGGCCTTTAGTGCTATGGGAGAGTCTCCATTTGGGGTCAAGATCATCACTCACAGGATAACAGGGTAGGATATATGCATCAGCCTAAATGTATATGTATTAACTCCGCTAGACCACTGAAGTTCTGCTGTGGTATCTGCACCAAGATGTTACCAACAGATCCTTTAAATGATGGAGGCCACACCTCACAACTTGCAGAACTTAGACTTGTTTGTCCAGCACATCCCACAGATGCTTGATTGGATTGACATCTGGGGAATTTGGGAGCCAAGTGAACACCTCAAATTCATTGCTGTGTTCCTGTTATCAGGGCGCATTATCCTCCTGAAATAGCCACACAGCCATCAGGAAAAAGAGTTACCATGAAAGGTTGCACACGGTCTGCAGCACTCATTAGATAGGCGGCAAGTGTCAAAGAGACATTCACATGGATGGCAGGACCCAAAGTTTCCCCGAAGAATATCGCACAAAGCATTACTCCACTCTCTCAATTTCTAAGCGTTGCCCATTTCTCCTGCTTGTAACACATCAACTTTGAGGACAAAATGTTCAGTGGCTCCCTAATATATCACCCACCAACAGGTGCCATGATGAAAAGATAATGAGTGCTATTCACTTCATATGTTAGTGGTCATAATGTTATGCCTGATCTGTCTGCGTTTTTCCCGCCTCTTTCTCGTTCAACACTAAAAGTAGCTACCGGTTCTGTTCTCTTGTGCAGCGGTTCAGCAGGATACTGTTTTGTGGAGCTGGCAGATGAAGCGAGTGTGGAGCGGTGTGTCCAGAGACTCAACGGGAAACTGGTTCCTGGATCAAACCCGGTCAGTTCTGTAGTGCAGTTGATATTTACTCACATATATTATTCATCATTATTATTTCATCATAAATACAAAAATATTGTTGACATGTAATACCGCCTTCCTTTTTCAGTAGAATTATCAAACAGTACTTAACTGTTGATCTGTGGATAGTGGAGCTCAACTAGTCTTGGTCCTGCTTTGTTAGGACAGAAACACAGTGTTAGGTGCTTAGGAGTCAGTTTAACATCCTGTTGTTATTGTCTCTGTGAACACACCAGATTTTTGTTGCTCTTAGTGCTGTCACTGTGAGGATTTCCCTGTCAGTTTAAACCAGTTTTATCAAGAAGCAAAACTAGTTAAACATCATGTTAAGTGCAGCTGTCTCATACTAACTGCAGAGACGGCTGGTCCAGTTAAGTCTGGTGATGCAAGACAAAAAAAGGCATCCCATCTTTCAAATTTCAGTTCCAAGTGGTTTGGGAAGTTGTGAGCTTTAGCTGCTTGCTCCTTGGTTTGAAATGCTTTTGGCCCCGTGGGCTGGCCAAGCTACTGGGCTCCCCTGTTCACTGGGCTGTATCTGCTGCTGAAGGTGGCTAAGAGGCTTGTACATGAATGTACTTTGTTTGAAGCTGGTGAATAGAGTCTCTGGTAGGAACTAACTGAGGAATGGGCTAAAGGCTGGTCTGGGTGGTGGAGGTATGTAAACCCAAATAACAACCATAGTAACTCCACTTTTTATTTCCAGCAATATCAGTGCTATACTACATGTCTTTGGTGTGTCTGCCTAGCTTAGTGTGTGTTCTTTCTCTTCCTTTGTGCAGCCCCGGAAGTTTAAGCTAAACTATGCCACCTATGGGAAACGGCCAGAAGCAGGGTAAGGCTTTGTTTGCTACATAACGCCAAACTTTTGGAGGCAGTTTTCTGTAGAATTTAGTTCCTCCAGCTAACTTGCCTAGCTGGAGGAAGAGACGGCACAGAAAAGAGGAACGAAAACAACGGACGGCAATCGGGGCAAAAAATAAATGAGAACAGAGAGAAGATAGAAGTTAATGACATGCAGCAGTGGCATACAGGTCCATACATTTTTGGACAATAACAGTTTTCTATTGATTTATTTTGTTTTACCCTCAGCCATAAAAGGCTGCTGGGGTGTTGCCATCACCTTGCCAGGTGGGTGGGCGGGCAACATGGGCCACCCACCCTGAGAACGAAGCACCGTAGGAGTTTCAAATTAAGCCCTCTGACCTTGACCTTGAGGTCAAAAAATCTGGTGAATGCAATAACTCAAGAAGGAAGTCATCTAGGATTTTAAAATTGATACTATAGGTATATAGTAAAATGGTTGTAATTCATAAGCGATTAACACAACACTTCACTTGAACACCTCGAATTAAAGCTGAAAGCCTCCACGTCAATCACATTTTGATTGCTTAATTTAAAATCCACTGTGGTGATGTGTAGAAGCAACGTGACCAAAGAAATGTTGTCCATAAACTTCTGGCCCTCATTGTATAAACAGTGAAAGCTGAGGGTGACATGCATCATGGGAGGGGGTCCAGATTGTATTATAGGTAGGAAATGGGCAATTACAATTTTAT